TTAATGATTAGAAAAAATAAATTATTGAAAGAAGAGAATATGCTGCGATTTGTTACAGAGAGTTATGAATATCTACATATAATGCAGATGGCACCATAGTACTAGCAGAAAACCTCACAGACCTGGAACACCTACTAAGGAAGATCAAAGAAGAAAGTGCAAAGGCAGGCTTAATGTTGAACATAAAGAAAACAAAAATAATGAAAACCGAGGACCTTCACAAGTCCAACCTAGACTATGAAGAAATAGAAATAGTGTTCTCATACCTGGGATCAAACATTGATAGAAATAGGGACTGCAGTCAGGAAATCAGAAGAAGACTAAGAATGGGGAGGGTGGCTATGAAAGAACTAGAAAAGATCCTAAAATGCAAAGATATACAACTCATTGTATTCCCTATTACCATGTATGGATGTGAGGGCGGGACAGTTAAGAAAGAATCTTTAAATTAATTCCTTTGAGATGTGGTGCTGGAGAAAAGTGCTGAGGATCCCATGGACAGCCAAAAGGACAAATAGGTGGGTTCTAGAGCAGATCAAACTGGAAACCTCCCTGGAAGCCAAGATGACCAAACTGAGACTGTCATACTTTGGACACATTATGAGAAGAGAGGACTCTTTGGAAAAAAAATAGTAATGCTGAGGAAGATGGAGGGTAGTAGTTAGAGAGGAAGGCCACATGCCAGATGGATGAACTGAGGTCACAGGTATTAAGGGGTTGCAAGAATGAAGGAGAGCAGTGGAGGACAGAGGGTCTTGGAGATGTCTCATCCATAGGGCCACCATGAGTTGAGATCAACTCAAGGGCAGTTAACAACAAAAAACAAATGAATATCTGTATATAATTACAGAAATGAAGTTGGGATTCCCCTTTTTTCTTCTCTGTATCTTTTTCTCTTTTTTCTCCCCCCCCCTCTTAATTTCTGTCAGTGGGCCCTTCCATATTCACTGGTGTTAGATGCACAGGATCCTCATGAAAGTGGAAAATCTGCAAATAAAAACACTAGAGGTTTTTTTTAAACCTGCGAGAATACCTCCCTAAGGATCTCTAGGTCCTTTAGTGCAGTGGTCCCCAACCCCCGGGTCGCGGCCCGGTACCGGTCCGCAGAACAAATGGTACCGGGCCGCCCTGCTACTGCGTCTTCTGTGCAGCGGCGGCAGCGGGTCCTGCGACTTTTGCGAGTCCTGCGAGTCCCGATAATAAGCGCAGGGACGGGACTCCTGCACCTGCTGACGTGCCCCGGCCCAGCTGATCAGCGTGGGGACAGGGCTTCTGTGCGCGGCTTTAGTGAATGATGAGTGACGTCCCTGACGCTGTTCAGAGGAGCCAGCAGGGGATGGTGGGCAGGGGATGGTGAGCAGGGGACGATCAACGCGCTGCCGCAACCCCCCCCCATGGGCCGCGGAAAAATTATCAAACGTTGACCGGTCCATGGCAATAAAAAGGTTGGGGACCACTGCTTTAGTGCAACTCTGTGGTCAGCATCTACCAGAGGTTGACCGTAGAATCACACTGGAGAACCTACAGAAGCCTAGAGGAGTGTTTTCCCTAGGAACCGCTAGGTCCTCCAGAGTGACTCTATGATCAATTTCCGGCAGAATCACACTGGAAGACTTAGAGATTCCTAGAGAGAATATGTTAATCAAATATGCAAATTATCAAATGCACAAAACTTAAAGCTGCAAATGTGGAGGGCTGACTGTATTTTAAAACTTTTAATAACAATATTTTTTTTTAAAATGAGGATTAAAATAGAATTAAACTAGCCACAATATTAAAGCATTTCAGATCTCTAGTTAAAAGAATAAAATGTAGTTTAAAAAAGTTAATTAAAATGCTATTATAAACAATACAGTTTAAAACATGCCTTCTAGCCCATTCTTTAAAAACTTTCTATATTAAGACCCTGTTGGAACAAAAAGGGTTTTGCCTGCTGATGGAAGGACATGAAGGAAAAAGCAATTCTGACCTCCCTCGGAAGAGAGGTCCAGAGTCTAGGGGCAGCCACTGAGAAGGTCTTCTCTCATGTCTCCACCAACTGTGCTTGTGAAGGTGGTGGAACTGAGAGAAGGGCCGCTTCTCATGATGTCAGGGTCCAAGGAACACATACAGGGGAATACGGTCTGGCAGATACCCTGAACCTGAGAACATAATACATAAACATCCAGAAGATCCTTGATTATGCATACTACACACCCTTCACATACTAAATGGGAAGAGCCCTGGTGGCCCAGTGGTTAAATGCCTGTATTGCATCCTCTCACAAACCATAAAGTTGCAAATTTGATACCAGCCAGGGGCTCATGGTTGACTCAGCCTTGCATCCTTCCGAGGTCACTAAAATGAGTACCCAGCTTGTTGGGGGCAATTACCTTACACATTGTAAACTGCTTAGGGAGTGCTTAAGTGCATTGATAAGTGGTATAAAAATGTACTTGCTATTGTTATTGGTAAATGTCAAAACAGTCATCACATATGAAGATAATTTTGAATCTGTACATTCTAATATGTTCACTTGCAGACATGAGGCCAGTTCCTTCCTAACTACAGTTAGGAAGTTCAGAACTATTGAGCAACCCACCTTTTATGCATTGTATTATACACTGTTTCATTTCTATATACACCTGTAACTCAAGGGGTCCATTCCAGGATCCTTCACGTTAACGAATTTTGCATATAATCTAGATTATCTGGAACCCTATTTTCTTACTCAAAATAGCCAACAACATGCTCTCTCTAGACAAGAGATTCCCAAATTTTGGTCGTCCAGATATTTTGGACTTCAGCTCCCAGAATTCCTGACTGTTGGCGATACTGGCTGTGGCTTTTGGAAGTTGAGGTCCAAAACACCTAGAGGATCAAAGTTTGGGAATCACTGCTCTAGACCTTTTCCAGATCCCCCAGTGTGATCCTGTGGTATGCTTCTTCTGGACATTGACCATAGAATCATGCTGGCGGACCTAGATATGCTTAGAGAAGTATTCTCTCTAGGAATCTATATGTCCTCCAGCATAACTATGGTCATCTTTTGGCAGAAGCATACAATAGAATCGCATTGGAGGACCCAGAAAATGCCTAGAGAGAACATATTTTTTCAGTCATGTATAACTGTAACCGCATAATATGAACTCATGTAATTCACAGGCCTACTGTAATGTATTGTATGTTGACCACAGAATTCTTGCTATTAGTGACAATGATAAATAACAAATGCTACCACCTGGGTACTTCTGCTCCCTTATGAGCTAGAATTTAAAAAGTGATAGACACATGCAGAAACCTTGATAATAAAGCCAGCTTCAGCAGGGAGGGAAATAGCTGAAAATGCATTTTAGTGGTGGTAAAAGTTCCATAATCTAGAACATTCTATAAAATTCCCAAAACATCTGAAATCCTCAAGAAGTTTGGTAAGAAAGTAGTTGAATTGGGAAGGTACCAATGCATGGATTGCTGTGGCTAGATTAGTTTCTGACAGGAATAACCTAGCCACAGTTGTTCATGTACTGGTAACCTTCTGGTTAGACTACAGGTTGAGTTTCTCTTATCCGGAATCCCAAAATCCAAAATATTCCAAAACCCAAAATTGTTTCATGGTGGCTGAGATAGCAACACCTTTGCTTTCTGATGGCTCATTGTATACACACTTTGTTTCCTGCATAAAATTATTTAAAATAGTGTGTATAAAATTACCTTCAGGCTATGTGTATAGGGTGTATATGACACATAAATGCTTTTGTGTTTAGGCTTGGGTCCCATCTCCAAGATATCTCAGTATGTATGTATATGCAACTACAAGTATTCCAAACGCTGAAAATAATCCAAAATCCAAAACATCTGTGGTCCCAAGCATTTCAGATAAGGTTGACTCATCCTGAATTATAATAGGTTATATATGGAGATGCCCTTGAAGATGACTTAGAGGTTGCAGTTAGTGAAAAACACAATGCCCCAATTGCTAACCGGAATAGCTTACAAATATCATATAACTGCAGTCTTCAAGGAATTGAACTGTTTGTCAATACAGTGGGCTCTTGTTATCCACTGGGGATTGGTTCCAGGACCCCCCCCATCGATACCAAAATCCATGATGCTCAAGTCCCATTAAATACAACAGTGTAGTAAAATGGTGTCCCTTATATAAAATGGCAAAGTTAAGGTTAGCAGTTTGGAATTTATATTTTTTGGAATATTTTCAAGCTGTGAATGTACAATTTTGATCACAATTCAAGGTGCTGATGGTAGCAATGAAATCCCTAAACGGCTTGGGACCTCGATACTGGAAGGTGCACCTTTCCCTTTGTATGCATATCTAAGGACTGAAGCTCCCTGAGGACCCTCCTTTTGTTCCACCAGTGTGGGCAATGTAGTGTGGGGCGACATGGAGCAGGGCCTTCTTGGCTATGGTTACAATTCTAAAATGTCTTCTGAAAGTCCAGTTTGGTCCCAACAGTAGCTTCATTTCAGCACCAGGTAAACATGGTTGGTTGTTATAGCCTCTGGACTTAGATATACAGTACCACAAAATATGTATCTTTCTGGTTTTAACCACTTTTACACCTTTTTTAAAATTTTGCTAAATTATTCAGTGCATTTAAATTATTTTTATTGTTTTAATTGTTTTAATTGTCTCAATCAGTTCAAACTGATTTTGCTTGCAATGCCCCCTGGAGATCTCATGATACAAGGTGGGATTTAAGTATTATACTGAGTAAATAAAAATAAAATTCAGGAATAATTATGTTCTTATTCTTGGAGAGTATTATTTTGAGAGTATTTGCACCTCACGGCACTTGGCAGGTGCACCTTTGGCATATTGTCTGGTCTACTGTTGAAGGAAGGTTTACTGTTTGGATGTCGGCTTTTGCCATTCACTGTTTTTAATTTTATTTCATTTAAACTTGTTTTAACTCATGTTTTAGATCAAGATTTTGCTTTTTAATCTCTATTCTATGCTTCTTGGCTGGGTTTGGGGCCCTACTTGGTTTAAAGACATTGTAAGAGACCCAGTATGGTGTAGTGGTTTGAGCACTGGACTATGACTCTGGAGGCCAGGGTTCGAATCCCGGCTTGGCTGTGGAAACCCACTGGGTGACCTTGGGTAAGTAACACTCTCTTAGCCTCAGCCTAAGAGGATGGCAATGTCAAACCTCCTCTGAACAAATCTTGCCAAGAAAACCCCATGATAGCTTCACCCTAGGGTCACCATAAGTGAGAAACGACTTGAAAGCACACAACAACAACAGCAGCATAAAAATAAAAGACACATAAATAAAATCTCTAATTGTCCCAGTGTACTGATTCAAGCATATTCTTTCCTTCTGCCTTTGAGAAGAAAGCAAACCCTGTGCCATGCGGGATTCTCCTGCTGATTGATGTGCCTGTGAGGCATTTTCTGCCCAACTTCAGGACCAACACACAGACATTGTGATCCTGCCATTTGATATTGTCTGTTTTTGCAAAGTCATCTGAAGTGATAGCGGGAGGGCAGTGATTGAATGGATGAGAAACCTTCCAAATGAGGCTTTTTTAAAAAAAAAAAACAAAAAACAAAACACCGGCTGCTCTATTCAGAATAACCCAGAATAGCCATTAAGCCTTTGCTGTGGCCGTTTTACAGATTGTTTTGTATGAATTGCAAGCTGTTAAACTTTTACCAGACAGTTCCAGAGCACTGAGCAATAGACTATTCAAAAGTGTGCATTTGGAAGGTTCTAGGACTTGGTGTCAGAATTGATAAACCAACATAAGGAAATAATAGCCTTGAAACAAATGTCTAGATCTGCATCTTCCTTAGCTCTAAAATTACTGGGTAGAACAGTGGGCCCTTGGTATCCTCTGGAGTCTGGTTCCAGGACCCCCCGTGGATAACAAAGTCCATGGATGTTCAAGTCCCATTAAATAAAATGGTATAGTAAAATGGTGCCCCTTATATAAAATGGCAAAATCAAGGTGTGCTTATTGGAATTTGTATTTTCTTGAATATTTTCAAGGCGTGGATGGTTGAATCCTTAGATTTAAAACATGTGGATATGGAGGGTCGACTGCATACGTATCTTCTTTTGCTGGCTATACTTAAATAAATATTCTTGCTCACCCCTTTGTCACAAGGGTTGTACCAATATACACAATGCCCAGGCTCCAAGCCTTTACAGCTGCATGCCCAACATAAATTCAACACAGCTATAGCTGTGTTTTGAGTGTTGGATCACAACACTGGAGCCCAGCGTTCAGTTCCTTGCTTGGCCATGAAGCCCACTGGGTTTCCTTGGGCAAGTCACACGCTCTCAGCCTCAGGGGAAGGCAATGGTAAACCTCCTCTGAACCAATCTGGCTAAGAAAACCCCATGATAGGTTTGACTTAGGATCGCCATAAGTTGGAAACTCTTCAAGGCACACAGCAACAGCAACAACAAAGAGAGGGTGATTGGATTTAGAGTGTTTATTTGTTTTAAGCTCACTAAGCAAAAACATCCAACGAACCCTGTTTCTTTGAACTGAAATATGTGATTAGGAAAACTACAAAGAATATTAAATATTGCTGAATTATTATATTCAAACAAATGCAAAGCTTTCTGTGGAAATTATTTTTATCAGAACACCTAGTTGTAGTTCCCATTGTCGCTTGGGGTAATTACCCATTGTAAATGATAGGAGTGGAAAGAATATTTGCAATTACTTGCAAGAATTTTCATTTACAAGAATTTTGTACAGTTTTTGCCTGGTATTTGCACATCCTGAAGTGTTTTGGGACACTGTTCTACACAGTAAGTATAAGTGTTTTTTGTGTGAGAGAGAATTGTGATGGTTTTGTGTAAAACACACAGCTTCGAGGCAGATATGGGTCTTCCTCTCCCCCCTCAAGATTGCAGCTTTTTTACCTGGTAATCATACACAATAGCAATCTTGGAAACAAAACTCTTGCAGAAAATGTAGTCACTTGATTTTCTTGTGCAAGATTTATGTTTTCTGCACAAGATTTTGTGTGTGTGCAAATCTTTTATTGTAGAAGATTGTCTTCAAATTATTTCCTGCTCTGGAAGGTGGGGCAAATGGGCAAAACAAAACTACCACCCATTTGTGTCAGCAGCCATATCCAGTATTTGAGTGGAAGTAGTCTAATTCTTAAAGGACATTAGTGGGATCAGAATTCACACTTGAGCCTTTTGGGGGATATGATTTCACCACATGGAAAGAGAGGCTTCTCCCCACCTAAAACCTTTGGGAGCACCCCATAACTCAGGGTAGGCAACCTTTTTGAGCCGGGGGCCAGGTTGCTGTCCCTCAGACAATGGGGGGGGGGGGCGAAGCACCAAAAATAAATAAATAAATAAATAAATAAAAATTAAAATTAAAATATATGCATGCACACTTTCTCAGCCCCAGAAAAGCCATGGCAAAACCCGTGTGGAGATTTTGCCAAGAAAACCCCAAGAACAAGTAATAACAACAATAATCAATATCATCATGGCGGGGGGGGCGGCGGCAGGGGCGGCGGCAGGACCAGCTTGGGGCCGGTCCAAAGGCCTCATGGGGCCACATCCGGCCCCCGGGCCTTAGGTTGCCTACCCCTGCCATAACTTATGAGAGTCGATCCCCATATAGAAAATATTTCTCATCTCATGTACAGTCAGCCCTCTTTATCCATGGATTCTTTATCCATGGATTCAAGCATCCATGGCTTGAAAATATTCAAAAAAAGTATAAATTCCAAATAGCAAACTTTGATTTTGCCATTTTCTATCATTTTCTATTTTGCTATGCCATTGTATTTAATCAGACTTGAGAACCATGGATTTCATTATCCACAGGGTGGTCTTGAACCAAACCCCAAAAGATAACAAGGGCCCACTGTACATAGTGTCACACAGATTCTTCAATTATATAGATGGATTAAGCAGCCAAGCAAACTTTTTGCATTGCATTTCATATGTGATGGTACCTATAAAGTTTGTTTTTCCTTATAGAGGCTGGCCATAGAATCATAGAGTTGAAAGGGGCTGTAAGGACCATATAGAAAGGCACAACTAAACCACTCCTGAAAGATAGCTTCCCAACCTCTGCTGAAAGACCTCCATAGAGAGTCCACCACCTTCTAAGGCAGTGTATTCCACCAGTTGACATCTATTAAATTATTATTTTATATTTTATGGTTATGCCCCACCTTTCTTCCAGCGATCTCAAGGTAATATAATATCTGTCTTCCTTCCTCCTTACTTTATATTTGCAATTACCCTGTGAGGTGGATTAAGTTGAGAGTTAATGAATAGCTCAAAGTTATCTGGTTAGTTTTATGGCTCCATGAGGACTAGAAACCAGATCTCCAAGTGCTGGTCCTACACTCTAACTCTTGATCTTATCAACTTTGGTAACTTAATTTAAGAAGGATGGGGATGGGGATGGGGATGAGTGTTGACATTCTCATCATACCTGTGAATCAAACCTTGGAAGACTGTCCAGAGCCCTTCCACACTAGACAATTATAGTGCTATGATGCTACTTTAACAGACATGACAATATCCTGTGGAATGCTGGGGTTTGCAGTGTAGGCACTTAGAATTTTCTTAGGAACCTATAGGACAGGGGTAGGCAACCTAAGGCCCGAGGGCCGGATGCACCCCCCCGAGGCCTTTGGACCGGCCCCAGGCCAGTCCTGCTGCTGCTGCCGTCGCCGCCGCCGCCGCCACCCCCATGATGATATTGATTATTGTTGTTATTACTTGTTCTTGGGGTTTTCTTGGCAGAATCTCCACAGGGGTTTTGCCATGGCTTTTCTGGGGCTGAGAGAGTGTGCATGCATTTTTTTTATTTTTTTATTTTTTAAAAATTATTTTTATTTTTATTTATTTATTTATTTTTGGTGCTTCAGCCCCCCAGTTGTCTGAGGGAAAGCAACCCGGCCCCCGGCTCAAAAAGGTTGCCTACCCCTGCTATAGGACATTGCCATGACAGTTAAAATAGAATCATCATCATCATCATCATCATCAATAATATTCATCTCCTCCTCCTCCTTTATGAGAAATAGTTCAAGTGGAATCATAGTGTTATAATTGTGTAGTGTGAAAGGGCCCCAGTAGTTATGCCCTGTGGCAGTAATAGTGTATTGGAAAGAGGTAGGTGCAGCTGGATCTGGTTTCCAGTCATGTGTGTGAATGCACTTTTCCTTACCTGTGGGAGAGAGGATTGGGCCCTCTAAAAGACAAGGTGTTCAAACTTCCTCCTTGAAACAATGCGTTTTCAAATAATGCTTCCATGTGCATTATTTTGAAATGTTCTACATTTCGGTAACTACAATTGTATGAAACATTTTAAAATGAAAGTTAGATCCTCATGAATTTTGTATCTCACATGAGGTTTGCGCAGACAACAGGACCCAAATAAATTGTCCTGGGAAAACCTGAAGGCTGTTTCTCATGTTCTGACAGTCATAATTGTTTTTTTTCCCGATATGTGAGAACTGTTCCAATATGCGCTGTGTTGCTTGAAACTGGAGTCAGTGGCTATTTGGCAGAGCATTGTGTTTGTCTTCTGCACTTCAGAACAAACCTTAGGGATAGCATCTCAGATTGCATCTGGTAATTCCACGTGGACTTAGAAAGGGCTTTCAGTCTGTCTGCATGTGATTTAGGAACATGATGCAGTTACTGAAATAAAGCACATGAGCAACATAGCCCTCCAGAAGCAAAATAACAGCAGCATCTGCACATGGTGTGGCTTCTCTACAACCTTCAAAGGCAGTTCCTTAAGGAAACTGAGGTTATTTTTCATTATGAAAAGTTATATATAAAGTAAGATTGCACAAAGCTATCCACATCTTCTAAATCTAAACCTAGAGAAAAGTTTATTTATTTTTATTAAAATAAATTTCTGGAAATGATGAAGCCATGGAAAAAAGCTTTTTGCAGAAAAAGTTTTTTTTAACTTATTTACTTATTTTTCATGTCAAACCCACACGTATTGTACTGCTTTAAAATTATAAAATGTACCAGTCATAACATAACTAAAATTGTCATGTTTGTTACACTGAAAACTATAAGACTGAATTTTGTACAGGCAAAATTATGATTATATCCCATA